CGCTTTGAACGCTCCCGTGAGACCCATTCAGACCTGCAATTGTCTGCCAAGCGTTTGCCAACCATTCAGAAAGTAGATGTTAATGTTATCGTTGCTAAATAATGGTGAAATGAAGCATACTCCTAACGTGTGTTGCACGTATCTCCTTCTCGGGGTCCATCATTCTTTTTCCTTGGAAAGGCTTTCCTTTTTATTTCGAAACGATTATTTAAAATAAGACGACGTGCTTCCTTTCCAGAAAATCTGTCACGCCTGCTGGCGTGTATACGGCGTCATATTTTCCTCCCAGGGACATTGGGTGCCTTCGTTGGTAGGGAGGGGGGAGGGTCGAAAGGGGCGGGTTTATATACCGCTATGTAACGACGTAAACATACCGGAGCGGATCGATTTATGCGGCTAAGTAAGTGCATTTTTATGCACCGTTTCACAGCCGAGACGAGCAGCCTTGCAACGAGCCACTTCGTTTAACGAACGACCTATATAGCCCTCGCCTGGCTTTACCCTGAAACACCCTGTACCAGGGGGTTGCGCGAGCTCTCGATTCACTTCTGTTTACCCTGTAGCTTTCCTCCTCAAACTTCCTTTTATCCTGTGTCAAATTTAGATGTAAGCTTCTTTACACCCTGTACAAGGGTTGCCTTTTTTCATTTTTATTTCTTCATTGAATTAGCTTCTAGAAAGTGTAGCTTCCTTACTGTACAGAGTGGTCCACCTAAACCAAGGCCACCCGAATATCTCTTCCACTTGTCAACGTACAACAAATATTTTCTATGGAATTTTAATGATATCAAGAGCTAAGAGATGCTTTTCCCTCGATGTCTCTTCTTTTTCGCGTCTTATAAGCCTTACAGAACTCATTCTTCGACTTTTAATATCCCTTAAAAAAGACCATTGTGCCATTATCAACTTAATTCTACCCGGTGGCGTTCCATCTACGTGGATTAAAGCGATCCACGCGGCTTCAGAATTTTCGATTAAAAGCCGCGGGTGCGCGTCGGGTCGCGAAAACAGACTAGAACGCGAACCGGAATTAAAATTAATTTCAACCTAATCCCCCTGTCGAATCGCTTTTGCGTTGTTGCTTCAAGCTGGATTAAACTCCGCGGGTAACGCCGTTCTCTCGCCGCGGGTCGCGTTCCGATGAGGAATAACGTTCCGTTTCGTTCCCTGCGCAATTTCAGCGCCGATAACAACGATTGCCTACCAGTTAACAACGCAATACGGTATAATTGAAACGTTGTTATCGTTTTATTACCGTCGAACCGAATTCGTTATATTTTATTGGGTGGAATCGCGATTAATTCATTACCGCCGAGCAAAGAGTTTGCATCGACAGGCTCAATTATACGCAACGATGATGCATCGAGGTAATAATGAAATCATTTGCAAGTATTCCTCTGGGTTTTTCATAATATCGAATTCTCCGCTGAGAATTGTTGCAGTGGATGACGTTGATCGATTTAGAAATAATCGTGGAAAATATTATGTATTCATTTTGATGAACGAAGTAATATTTTCCAAACGCTACATGCATCTCCTGTATCTGTGTAGAAGCACTAAAATTCGAGCAAAGTTACAATCCGAACAAGACCTACGAGAGAATCCACTGCATTTTTAATTTCAATTACGATGAAATTTCCGAAGCACAGTACCAAGATAATATTTATAACTCTCTAAATATTAAAGCAAACTACATCTGAAAAATCGTGTAACATCTTCGCGGGTGTACGTGTCAGTACAAAAAATATAAATTCAGTTCGATATCTTTCGTATTTTTCCCAAGGAAAAATCTGAAAGTGACCGGAGAATGTTCCTAGAAATTGCTCGAAATTGCGTGTGGGAAACGAGTGTCTTCTGCATCGGCCCAGATGAGATTACAGGCTGACTAATTGCAGCAGGGTTGCGGCGTCCACGGTGCGCTGAATATTTCAAACGATCCCCTAGTATTCTGAATACACGGAGGCTTGTGTTCCGTGTTGCGTTAATTATGCGTGCTGCCGATCCCAGGAGAGCTGCGTGAACCAAGAACGTAGTAATTACGCGCACACTCGCATAACAGGACACGGATGCACGTTCCGCCCTCCCCCTTTGTTCCATTCGACGTCCATTTACACCGGAGCCACGTTTGTCCACCTCTCTTTACTCCAGATAGCAATTTCTTCGTGCAGAGGTTTTATTGTTCGAGTTTATCCGCTCTTGTTCCAAATAAAGAGATTGCCCGACGCGTTGGACTGAGAATCATTTGTTTAACGTTGGATTCTTTTGTGGGAGGAGCAATTGGGTCGAAATTTAGATAGAAATAGGTACAAATGAATTATCGATTAGTGTTAATCTTTACTTTATCAGAGATCCTCTTTTAAAAACACATAGAGCCCGAATCTTAAATTGAAATTGCTCTGCTGACCACCACCCTTAATATCACAATGGTCTTCGGTGCTACAACGAACAAGTAGCTGACTCGAAAACCTCCAAGAACGTATTATAGACAATTAACCACGCTCTATTCCGCGCTCGTCTTCGGGACACCTCCGACGTGACTGCTTTCGGTAAACTCAACGAACGTCCCAGACGTTCTCGATCCACTAATCAGCCAAAACGCCCCCGCGTTCACTCAACCCGCAGTCGAGCCGAACGAACGAAGCGATCCAACGTCACGTGCCGCGGAAAATCCGTTCCCAAAGAATCAAGTCTGAAAATTAACCCGTCTCTTGGAAACTTCGGTCCCTGTGCTACGAATTACATCCGTGTACCTCCTTTAAGGAGACACCGTGGCAGGAATAACTATGCCCTCCCCATGGTCGCGAAGAAGACCAATTTTCCTTTAGCAAGTTGGCCACGGAGATATTCGGTAAACACGACACGTGCACCAGCATCCGATCAGGTGCGACTTCCTCGGAATTTCCAAGCGTTCGTGCAACGAACCCCGCGGTCTTTTGGAAGTAATTCGAAAGCGCGAGGAATTTCGGATCGCTGCGGAGGCGTGATAACCTGCGAGTCGCAGGGGTTGATTTGTTGGCGGGGAAATGGAATACTAGGGTGTTCTGATCGTCTAGACCGCGGGGAATCGCTTCGTTTTGGGTCGAGGAGCACGAATCATTTAGTAATAGGTAGATCTTCGAATTGTAGGTCCATTTTTTCATTGAATTCGAATAGTATTAGAATTGTGATAGTTGAGTTTCCTCTTTGAATATCATATTTATCCTCACCTACATTGATTATGGTTATGTAACATCCACCTCATCGGGTAATGCTCACTTACCTCGTTTCAAGATATAAATCGCCACCTTCTCCGCTTTCGAGTCGCCCCGTCGCTTCCGATTGTGTCACTTGAAGGGATATTCGATTTCGCTGGAGGAAAGCTTATAGGGACGATAGAATTTTCCCGGTAGCTCGATTTTCGCGTAGAAAGGGAGCGATTTATCAATTTTCCCGCAAGAAGAGCTGGCCAAGTGGAAAGCCATCGGTACGAGACTGTATCGATCGAGGTCGTGGTTAATACCGGTATTACCTCGAATAGTATTTATTCGAGGAGAGAGTACGTCCTTGGAAGCGTAATCCTCTGCAATTAATAAGAACCTTCAAAAGAACAATCGAGGAGGTCGTATCGACCATCCAACTTTTCCTATTCAGAAAAAAAGATTCAGCCTATAGAGGTTTAAATCAAGTAATATAATAATCGGAATCATTATATTACTTTCTAAAATTGCATGCCTAGAAACACGTTGGATATTTAGAATTAATTGATGCATGGCAAAAAAAAACCTGAACGTGTTCCATCGACGGTTCATTTCAAGTTTATTCCATGCTCCAGTAGTCGTAGCGCGCGTATGGTCAAACATGGCGCCTGCAAGGGACACGGAACATTCCCTTCGATGAAATTCAATCCTCGAACCCGCGTAAAACGAAAGTTGCCACTTGTTGCTGAATTATGCAGAGCCGTTCCAGTCACGGTGGAAACCGATGCGAAACGCGATACTTAAGTCGTTCAGCATTTCGCTGAAACAGAATTGTCGATACGCGTAATTTCGGTGGGAACGGCCGGAAAGTACGCGCTGGATTTTATCTTTGAAACGTATTCATTGATTCGGGATCTCTGCGACGTCTATAATATTTGGTTAAATTTGAGATCATTAAGGAGGGGGTACTATTACACGGACAAAATTTCTTTCTACTTCAAAAAGCATTAACGTGTACACATATTGAATACAATACAACTCGAACAAAATTCGCCAGTAATTAAATGGAAGTACCAAGCACCCAAAAATTTTTGCGACGAAAAAGAAACGCTTTTAACTCGTAGAAGCAACGTTCCACGGGTTGTCAGTGGTTGGTATTGAGAAAAATTCTCTGTGAGGGTTAATACCTGTCCGCGTGCATTTTTTCCTCGTCGATGAAAGGACTCGTTTGTAACGGTGCCATGTACTTTGGCTCAAAAATAACTGCATCGCGCGGCCGTGACATTACCCAGTGGTCGTTTCTGATACACACTCATACACAGATCCCGTCCACAAAGTGCAAAACGTCGTTTGGTTCCCGTTTTCCACGCTGGCGTTTTCCAACGCCCGTCGGAAAAGCGTAAAATATCGATGACAGTCGCGACGCCCAATTACCACCGCATCGGCATCCGATATACCTCCAGTCCGTTGCTTACGCTACGCCAGACCACTCACGGACGTTTTCCCCTTCTTTTATCGTCTTTCATACGTGATCGTTCGCAGCCACCCGCGCGTTATGTATGCATACCCTCTATTAAATTAACCTATCCTTTCCCTTTACCTTTTTCTCAGCGAATCTCGCAGCTTATTGTTTTCCGCTAGAGATACCCTGTTTCCTTTTTTTTCTTTTTTTTCGTTTCGTCTTCCATGCATACAGATACACAGAGGTTTTTTTTTTTTAGCCTGTAAGGATGTTATTTTCCGAATGAGTTACTGGTTTATTTCCTGTAGGTTTATTGGTGATACCAGGTTGATCTAACGGGTATGTTCTTGCGTATGTTCCAGTATGTGGCGACATTCACGGGCAGTTCTACGACCTGATGAAATTATTCGAGGTGGGCGGTCCGCCCTCCTCGACAAAGTATCTCTTCCTCGGCGACTACGTAGACAGGGGTTATTTCAGTATCGAGGTAAGTTCAAGCAAACTTCCTAAAGTGAAATTCATAATTTAAAAAAAAGTAGTTTAGAATACAAAGAGTGAGCATATTTAGCTTGTGGACGTTCATGCGAGTTCAACAAAGAAAAAAAGAATTTAAGCTTGGATGAAACTTTGTCCTATCTTCCATTATTTATATTTTTATGGACATTTTCACAGATTCCCCATATTTTCATTCGCCATAAATGCATAAAGATACGCAAACCCTCGAAAAAAGAAAAATTCCTGCTATTGCGAACAAAAACAATTAAATCATTAGAAAGGTCGGGTCTTTCCCGTGGCATCTCTTCCAGTCTCCGTAAAACTGAGGGCAACGGGTATACAGAAGATTGCGATTTCTTTCTTCCACAATTTAAATCGTAATTTTCTTATTTAAATTCAGACCCTCGTTACGTGGAAACTTAAATGGCCCGCGTCTGTCGGAGTCAGAAAGAAATCGCGGAACTGAAATTTGTATCTCATTAACGTTTACCGTTGTTCCCATTATAAAAACACCACCGTTCAGGTGCAGCTCCGAGGAAGTTCTCTCTCGTTTTCATAAAACAGCCATTCCTAACCGCTGGGGCTGGAAATGTCCAAACTATTTATGAATAACGTCGTGAGAAATTTATTTTAAAAATAAAAACGGAGACGAACCGAGGAATCCATGTGGTCAAAAAAATTGGGGATCTTCGATTTGAAATGATTATAATTTTGAAATAAATGCATTAATCAAATCCACCGGGAACGAGAGACCAACAGCTGGAAACTGAACTGGCTAATTAGCGTCCCGGCTCGGTTAATCACCAATTAATGCGCTCTCCGTCCGTGTTTCGTCGCGTCGAAGGCAGCCCACGCATATTCTCGTGGAAATTTCGCGCTGGAAGCGTGAAACTTGCAGCCAAGGTCCCATCCACCTTTGATGTTCAAATTCGTTTGCTCGTTCGCGATCTTAGGTGAATTTATTGCTCCCTGGCCTTGGCAGCGACGCGTTTTCAGCATTCGAGCGCCCCAAGCGACTTAGCGACTGGAAAATCGCTTTGTAGTCGGCGACGTCGTTGAAACTGGGATTTTCCGACGGAGACCAAGTTTATCGCGAGACATTCTTACGCTCGACTCGTTTCCTAACAAGGAAAATCCACGATGGATCCCTCGCCTTGACGTGATCAAACTTGGCGGGGGTTATGAAACAGCCAAAACTTAGGTCATGAGTTATTTCTGAAAGCAGGAATTTATATTTGATATTGTCCTCGGAAGTAGACGTGTTGGAATAGTGGTAGGAATAAATGGTTCAAAACTAAAGGGTCTTCTAGTTAACGCGAGGGTAACAAATCCGTTTGAATTCTACTTTAAAGAAGTGAGAAATTAATTCTGACGGTGAGATGTTAAAGAAAGCGAGTCTGTATAGAACACGTGAGTTTCACGAAATGACAAATATCATATAGTTTCCAACTGCCTTGAAACTTTTTACCCTGACAGTCAACGCGTTGGCAATCGAGGCATCCTTTTCCGCGCTTATAGTTTGTCGACCGCCGTCCAATAATCTCGCAAGATGGACGACCACTCGTCCCAGTGTCACGACAAATGGCCCTCGCGGGTAACAAACTACGACATCGACGATTTAGGGAGGCGAAGGGGTGGACGTCGGGCAAAACAGCAAGGAATCGACGAAACGGTTATGATACGCGGAAGGAACGCAAAAATATAATAAATTGGAGGGTCGTAGCGCCCCGCGAGGGTCAGTTCGGATGGGTTTATCGTCGACGTTGTTCGTGGAAACGTGCACGTTCTCGGAAGCGTTATTTCCGGTCCCGAACGATGCCGAACCCCTCGAGAAAATACATTGTTTCCGGTTCGTTCTTAGCGATACTCGCGGAATTATCTCGAGGAAACGATGATGCGATTATCGGGACGCGGGGGAACCATTTTATTTTCTTCCCGGTTACGGCCGACGATCCTGGGGAGATTACCGCTGTGTTCGTGATCCTTTCACGACGGGAGGATCGGGAGAGCGTAAACGGGGCGGGAAGTTTATGGGAATCGGTCTCTCGATACGTTTCTCTTCGAAGGAGCGACCCTGGGATCGATTATCACGCTTCTTGCTAACTGGACTCCTCTCGTCAACTGTTTCCTTCCTGTGTGTTAATTTCTTTCAATTTTAACAATAAGAAACACACGACTCGTTCCTCTCGTGTATACTACTTTTTAAGTATAGGCAGTTCGATCATTTTTAGTCGTTTCATTCATTCAGCGAGGACATGAAATATCAATTCTGAAGATCAGGTGCAACAGCAAACAAGTCTGGTTAGATTATATAGTTCGTAGCTTCATCGTTATTTCTATGAGTATCTCTAGCATAGTGTTAAAAAAGAATTACAAAGTACATGAGCGAAGTGGGTCGACTTGATTTTTGTTTACCCTGTTTCTTTATTTTCTTTATTTTTACTTTCGTTTTTGCTATACAAATTACACAGAACGTCGTTTGAAGGTGCTTCTTTGACGATCTCCTCTTTGGTTCGACATCGCATTCTTTTTCCGGGGTGGTCGCGAGTAATGAAGGGGAACGCGGAGCCTGAAAACAATGGCGGGGCAAATGATTTCGTTGCGATGCCAAGCAGAAGTTCGCGTGTAATTATAGGACGACGGAGCGGAAGGGAGCGACGCTCCGTTGGCTCCACAAAGGGCCAGTCCAAGTACGACGTAGAGAGGAACGTGAACAGCTGAATGGATCAACATAGTGGAATTAATTCACTTGGAGGCTCCATCTGAACCGAAGACTTTCGATTTTAGATTTATACATTTAGATATATTTTCATTCGAGTTGCTCTATATATAAGCCCGTCTTCAACCAGCTTCGTGAGTAATTCGTGTTGGCTGGCCGTTGGAGTATAATTGGCCAGTTCGGAGAACAAGAGTGTAGTTTTCCTGAATTTTTAATTGAAAAGAGCGAGACTCGGACGGATAGAATCTGGCTCGATGAGTAACAGCCGCCCACGAGGATCCCCAGCCGACGTCGTTCGCATGAGTGACACGCCACACGACCGTTTGCCAAGCCAATGAATCAGGCGCGCCGCTAAGTGGTGTTATGCCTCCTGTGCCCGAGAATCGTCCGAACCGTTGGTTCGAAATTCCTAGCTGATCCTAGACCCCTTGTTGTTCAACGTGGAACAGCGTGTCTAGCGTTGTTTATTAGAATAACCTGGCACACACATCCCTGAGGCTTTCATAATCGTAAGTTCCGCGGGTCTCTTGGATGCTTGCACGTTCTTCTGTCTATATACCCAAGGGAATGAGGAAAATTTTTGCGACATACACCCTCAGCGCGTGCTTCGAGGTAGATAAGCTGGATATCGAGCCTTTGATCTCGTTTCATTTTCAATACCCACATAAAGGAATGCATTTTCCCAACATTTCGTAAATTAATTATTGTTAATTTAATGGTTTCTTAATGGAAAATTCTGTCACCCATTTCGGGACGACCAACGTGTTAGAGTTTCTTAGCGTAACGAGGAGTTCCTCCAAGTTCTTTCCAGCCCCATGTGTTGTACGCGCATTAATGCTCTTCTTATTTCCGTGTTTTACGGGCACTCCGTAGCCGCGCAGACTGCGGCGATGGCCAATAAAACGAAAATGAGCGCGTTTCGTACGGGTCGACCATCGAGAAAGTCGGTCGGAACTAAATAAATAAACGCGTTTATCACATTTTCCGCTGTTCTTTCCAGAGTCATATTCGAAAACCTACCCGTTCGCTAATTAAATTTGTCGAATATTCGCGCTTTGTGTCCATCGTCGTTTCGGAAAATTACTCTAATAGAATTAACCTTTAAACACCCCGCATGGGGGTGTTCGTCGGTGCAAACATAATCCCTAAAATGGGAACAGAAGCGGCGCGTATCGATCAGTTTCCAAATTTCGATTAATCAGCCGACTCGGGCGACGAGTAATTAGCTGATACACCCCCACCTTTGTTCTCTAAACGAACAACAGACTCGCGCCGCGCTAAATGATTCGGGGTGTTGTTATTGTAGTCGTTAATCATCGACACGGGGATGAACCGGCGATTCGCGAGGGATTATCATCCGTGACCAGTTGCGGAAATCGTTTTCCTCGACGGAAGCTTCTTCTTTAGATGGATATCCCTACTTAAATAGGACGCTTGTTAAAGTGTTAACGGAATCTAATGTAGAACCGTACTCGTGAAATTCCATAACCTCTCGTCGAGTAGGTCTCGAGCGACGCCGTTACAGATAAACGTACCCCAGTCATACTTATTATTCATGGAGATTAAACCGTATTGTCGATAGACGCATATAATACGTGTTGACAAACGTAATTGCGAATAAATATTGATGATCGGAGCGACTTTATTAAGGATAATTGCACGATTTGTGTTGACTGTAGCAGTCGCGGCAGAGAGTGAATGATGGATGAGCTGCGATCGCTAACGTTCGCGACGGGAGACGGACCAAGATGGGTGACCGTTTTTTAAATTATTCACTCGGGATGTTTAGGATAGTACTGGGTGGATTACACAACGCTGACCTAGCCTGTGTGCGTCAGTTATTCCTCCCACGACACAAGAGCCATGCGCTTCACTCGTGTGCCATTTGCTCGACTTTCGATTTATGCAACCGTCGCGTGCACACTCTTGGATCCACGAATCACACACAGCCGATAGTTTCTGGAGCCTCCAAGTTTTCGGTCAGCAGCTTTCGCGGTTCCAGAAATCGACTGGAATGTCGCAATACGACAATACCACCGCGAGTGGATCACCGCGGTGATTTCGAACATCATCCATCGGTGGTGTGGTACAATAAAACGAAAATGCGTTTTCACGAGCCTCATTATCGGCCCCGCAATGGGGAAACAATAGCTGCGACACGTGCTCTCACACGTACATCGCATTCATAGCCACTTATGCGATTGTTCCTGGGCAGGGATACGCGCGCGTACGTCGCGCATTAATACCCGTGATACCCGCATTCGAAACAAACCGTTAATGTATACGCGATGAATAAAAGATGGGGCTGTGCCTCTCTCTCCGCTCTCGGTATCGATTCCACCAACGCGGCCAAGTTTTAACGATTGTTTACCGCCGCAACGCGTGCATCGCGGCTACGCTTTTTTTCCTCGTTGATAAATTAGTCGATGGTCGTTTAATCTGGGAGCAGTATAGAAGCTCCTGAAAGTACGCAGAATAGAAGGATCGGCGAACCAAATTGGACTTGGATAGTTAAAATTCTGTAGACTTAGATCGAGTAAATCTAAACACTCTCTCGATCACGAGACGAACAGAGATCGCGGTTAGGGAGGGAAATTGTCTCTGCCAAAACGCTCACCTTTATCTTCTCACGGGTCAACTTCAGCGAAGAATGCCTCTCGTGGCTCGCGCGCGTTTCGAGGACCGGGGAGATTAATTGCGCGACGGCTGATCGCGTTGAAACCCAAACGACGGCTTCGCGTAGGCGCTTTTGTTCCACGCTCCATGCCAGTTCCGTTAATTCCGTCGCCTCGTGACAATTAATTACCAGGGCGACCGAAATAAAGCGTATAATGCTTCTTTTCAACGCGGACGAAACGCCAGCGCGATTTTTGGCGACGAAAGACACGCGGGGGAAACGAAGTCGGCGAGCGATTTCACACCTAATTTTCTCCCAGACACTGGAGACGAAAGAAAATACATTTCTAGATCAGCTTGGACAGCAGTTTCGAGCTTGGAAACTAAGAAATCCGTCCTTAGAGATCACGTGTGTGACGCGTCGCATAGATGACAATACGAGTCACGAGCATGGCTGTTCCAACGCGGTGAATGTAATTCGCGAGATGTTATAAATTATCAGAGACAAAGAGAGAGTGTGGAGACGAAGGACAGTTATAAACAACGTGGACTTTGGTGCTCGAACGAAACGGTAACTAACGGGTTCGGTTTCACGCTCGAATCGCTTCAAAAACAACGCTGCGCTGGCAAACGCCTATAAAAAACAAATTTCCTCGAGGAAACGGAGCATCCAATGCAAGTTATCCTTGCGTTATGCTGCTATGAAAGTCGTGGCAACTTCGACCCCGCAGACCGTGAATTTTCGCGAAATCTTCAACGAGCGAAACGAATTCTCTCTTATTATGCGTTCGTTGGTATAAGCTTCAGTCTTTTAGTATTATCGTGGTGGCTGAGCCACTTAACCCTAGAAAACATGAACTATACATGATATGAATATATATGAATGGATATATATAGTATAATTTTTGTTCACTTTTCTTGAACTGAAACGAAGACATCGTATTAACGATAAAAAATGTACATTTTGTGTTGCAGTGCGTATTGTACCTGTGGGCACTAAAACTGTGCCATCCAACCACACTCTTCCTCCTCAGAGGTAACCACGAGTGCCGTCATCTCACGGAATACTTCACATTTAAGCAAGAATGTAAGTATCACCTAATCACGATTCGGTGTTCGCGTCTGTCTTTCCGATTTTCCCAATTGGAAAAGCTCGAACTCTTTTAACGACTCTTTTAACGAAAATTCCACGTGCGCAGATCTTCCTCAACTTATCCCAGCCAAACAATGAACTCCCATTCGATTTTCAACGCTCCAGCTTTCCATTTTCCATTAGCACTCCGAGGCTGAAATTTTCGAAAAGTTGTGCAACGCTCGGCGCGATAAAAAAAAAAAAACTTACGCCGAGTTTTCGCGGAAAATTCGGTTCGAGTGTTCGTTTTTTTTTTTTTTTTCCGTGACACAATACGTTCGAGACAAAATTGGAACATTGTATTAGCACACATATTTTTCTCGCATGAATTTTTTTTAGAGGTACAAATATCGTTGGGCTTTTTACTCTCGTTTGTTTCGTTATCACTTTCGTCCACTTTTATAGAGATAGATTGTCTTCTATCTTCTCCGGATTAGTGTTCCTTCGAGCACTTCGTTCTATCGCCTGACAGCTCCACGCAAATTCGTACCTCGAGCTTAACAATATTCGCAACAAGCAGCCATAATTAGCAGAGAGGTTGGCTCCGCTCTCGATACGCGGCAGCCAGAGCAATTTTCATGATTCATTCCGTCTGAGAATTTATTCGTCTATTTGTTTGCCCGCCATCCCCGGCCCTCCGCTAAATCAACCCGCCGACGTTGAATTTCAATCTTCTCTAAACCACGCGTGGTCCTCCATCGCGATTTTTCCAACCGTTCGCCACGAGTTTCAGATCTTCTGTTTAAATAATTCAACATTCGAGTAATGAAACTCCAGTAGGTGGAGTTTGGGGGTCACGTGGAAGATTAGGAAGCTTCCAGTTGGGGGTTGCATCCCAGCGGACGTCGTATGAACGTGCCAGCGTTACAATCGTAAACGTAACGCGGTGGTGGGTTAACGCGAGCTCGTAAATACACGCGGCTTGACCCAGTATCGGACAATTTTCCAGGATCGATACGGTTTTCCGCGGGTCGCCTCGACTGCGTCACGCAGAGTCTCGAGATATCCCTCTGCGATCCCGGAAACGGATGGAATTTGTATTTCAATGGCTGCTCCCTCCTCGTCCCAGGCAAAAGCGGCGAGAATTCTTTTCGACTCGTGTAAGCGAGCACACATTCGACTTCGATCGCTTGTTGAACGACGAAAAATCACGGAAAAGGTGAACCAAGGAAATAATTTCTCCAGGGAAACGATACTTAACCTCGTAGAAGGTTATAAAGTTTTTCGTGCAGGTTCATGCGTCGTGTTTGAATCGTGCTTTCCATATTCGACTCGAATTCTTTGATATGTGTTTCATGTGTTATTATAGGCTAAAGGGTTGAGTGGTTCGAGTGCGTTAGGCTTCGTTTAATTCGTTAACAGAGAGGTAACGTTTAATAGCTTGTAAGAAATTAGAAAATAAGTTCGTTTACACATCCCATTACGCGTTCCAATGGAGATCCCATTTTCTGAGGGACTTAAAAACCGTGGATTGAGCCTTTTATCCAGACAATCCAGCGACGCTGCTCGGTCCAATTTCTCCCGAACGCGTTCAGCGATCTCGTTATTCCGTGTCGATTCGGAAACAAAGGGAACTCGCAACCATTGAGCGAATCATGACACAGAGACGAGCGTAATAATTAAGACGTTCGCTTCGAGCGTCGTTAATTGTACGCTCCAACGTCTTCCTCGCGACGCAGCTTGTAAAAGGAGAAAAGAATCATTTCTCACGGTTTCTCATCGGTGAATCTTGAAGCTGGAGGTCAAGTTTCCTTTTATTAATACGTATTCGCGTTGCGAGAGGGAAAAGAGATCTGAATGTACCGTGTGTCGCGAACGAATCGCCTCTTTGCCAACGTTTGTCGCGATTTTGTCTAATTAGGGAGCAAATTCAGCTTCAGGGGTGGGCAAACTTTCGGTTGAATGGTAAATGAAGAATGGTACCAGAATATGGGAGTCTATTCATAGCGTTTGCTCGATCGGAGGGCTAATTTTTATTTAAATGGGTCAATTATCAATGCATTGAACTCCTTTCGTCGAGGAAGTACACGTATCCTGCCCTATACCTATACTATCTATATTTTATTTTCAAAAGTGAAATGCGTATTTCTACATATATTTTTCAAATTAGATATTAAGTAGCCCTCAGAACAAACGAATCGTTTCATGAATATATTCTGAATCCAAAAGTGTGTTCTATACCTCAACAAAAAAAAAGATGTAACTAGATGTTGACTAATTTTTTTTTTAATTTAACAGACTTTTTCCTACCAAGTTTTCATCGATTTAAATGCATTTACCCGCGAACTTACTTTTTTTTTTACACCCCGAACCTCGTTCGGCCTTCCTCCATCGACATCTCGTTGTATTAACGAGGATCGAGTTCCGCAACCCCCTTGACTTTCATTTGATGATATCTCGCGCGCGAATCAGACGTCGCGGGGGACACTCCAGAAAGCTCATTTGCGAAGCTTTCGACCCGAATAAATAACACAGGAACGAGACGATCGCGAGCGTTGTGTTTCGACTCGCGGAAACGGAAAAAAAACGAAGCGAGTCGCCTTGGAGGAGCCGGATTAAAATGAATAGGAAATCTTCCTTCTTTCCCCTTAATTGACACGAATTTCCGTGTAAATATCGCTCGTCTCTGTGTCAGTAGCGAATTCGTTACTTTATTTTACAACGAAGTCCTTTGTACACTTTTTCAATAATTTGAAGAGTTTCCCATCGTCGTATCATTCGCTTGTATCTCAATCTCGGAAACAGTTTCTTCGTTCTGACGAAGAATCCGACTGAAATTCGAAGTGGCAACGTGCTCGAGGCCCGAATCGTCACGCGTTATTCGTAGGAGTTCGCTGTAGCACGAGCAAAAAGCCCCTGGCTGGCGGCCAGGGGGTCAGCGTGTCGAAACGGACCTCGGTCGCCAAAAACGATTGTTCTGCGAGCAGACTCTCTCCACCGGAAAACATCCAGCGACGCAGAATTAATTGGAAGATAAACGGAGACGATACGTCACCGTTCGATGCGCCGTTTCGATTCCGGTTTAATCGAAGAAAATTATTTTTTCGGGGCGATATTTTTGTCGACGGAATTATTACCATTTTCGTGTTTCATTTGGTGGAAAGTAACATCGGTATGCGAATAATGCAGAAGTTATTGTTTGCTCTGAGTTGAAAGGCATTGCTCAAATTTTCTTCAACATACCGTGTACATTTCAATGTTCAGTCCATTTCAATTTACCAATTTTTGATAAAGCGAGAAAATTAGGGCTCGATCGCTCACCTACCAGGATCGCAGGAGTGCTTGATTAATTTTAGACTTGTTCCCTTGTAAAAATATTAAGGAAAAGGGTCAGCCACTGCCCCTAGGGATCCAGCTCCGCACCGTCTAGACCAGGTGTCGACTTTCGACCCCTTCGTAGTCCCCAAAGCCCAAGGGATGGGTTCCCAAGCGCACACCTCTCACCCTCCAGCTTTTGCGTCCAGCTCGAACGGTCCAATTTTGCGTTGGATCGACGGGCAAATATAATTCATGTCTGCAAAAGCCTCCGAGATGTTCATTCGCGAGGATCTCGATGGGAGCCTCGAGTGACAGGTTTGACCAGCAATCTGTCCGCTTTCACCGTCGACAAATCTTCTGGCTGTCGACGCTGGAGATACCGCGGACCTCGTTTTATTGACAGGGAATACTTCTTGTTCGTCAGCTGGGGAAGTCGAAGAGGGAAACCTCGACTGCCCGTTCCCGCCACTTCGTCATTCCACCTGTCCACTGGATCTCCCAGACACGAGAACCCTCTGTGTCTTTTCGGGGCCCACTTTTGGTTGGATGTCTACCTTTTGATCCCTGTGTGTCCACTTTAAGGAATGCATGCTCCGTCGCAAAAGTTTTCGAACTCTAAGTTCCTTCGTAACGATAGCCTTAATGGCGTCATATAAGTAAACGAGGTTGCTCCATCCTTGTTGAAGTCTTCTTAACGCTGAACCTACCCCGACTGCTATTGAAACCTGTCGAGCGAATCCAGAGCTTGTAATTTTTGTGTCAGCGTCTCTCGAACTGGATGCAAGCTCCGAAAAGAAAAAGAGCAGAATGAAATTTTCCACGGGAAATTCACTCCTTTCTTTATCATTCTGATTGTTCCCTGTTGAAAAAGACAGAAGGTTCCCAGAACGGTTCGCCGCGTGCAAAGTTCCCTCGCAGCTCATTTTTACGGAACGTCGTCTGCAAGACGCGCCACGATTCTATCTACTCGTGGAATCTCGCTGGACGTATTCTGGCTCGTCCTTCCGACTATTTTCCGTCTGAGAAATCGATCGGAGGATCTCGATACGTCGCTGAAAAAGACCCGACTCGAATCCTACCTCGTATACCTACGACGAGGGAAGAAATCCACGAGTTTCTTCTTAGCTCCAACGACCAGCGTGACATCCTGTTTGCGACCAAACTCGGGGAGCCATTTCAGACTGATGGGAGGGATTGTTCTGTTTACTGGGAACGGTATCCTTGAATTATTTGGGAGGGTGACGCGGAACGACTGGGAATTCACGTCCGAATTCTTGCTAACCCTTTCAATTCCCAAAGTTCGTGATAGTTGGTATTATTAATGCTGGGGAATGTTCATTGTTTGATCTGATAGGGAGCAAAGGTCATCGGGTTAGTTGTCTGTAACTTGAATTCCAAAGAGTAAGTGCGATGATTGAATTGATACAGGTTCGATCGCAAATAGGACAGAGGGTAGGTCCAGGCCGCTGGAAACTCTCGTATTTCATAAAACGGACACGACAGGGTCGTTTTCTTTAACTCGAAGAGGCGAGTTTCCTGATGGAAGGATTTATTATTCTCAGTGGACACAGGCCCGGCTAGAAATGATCTCCGGGCGTTCGTCGTTCTTTTTACGACGTTTCACGCACACAGACACACCTGCGTTCCGTCTACCTCGTCCCAGCCTTTTCTTCATTGCTCTCCAGAGCCCTTTTCCCTTTTATCCGTTCTCCAGCGTTCCTTCCGACTCCTGGAAAGTACCATTCTCCCGAGCTTTTGTACGGCTGGCGACGAGAGTCTGTGTACGGTCATTAAAAAGTGTCAGAGGGAGAAATCTGGGACGACACGTTCGATGCGACAGAACGCGTGACGTTCCACCTCGACGTATCAGGGCGTTCCAGAATGTGTTGCGCGTTTCTCGATCGTAATTTATCAAGGGATAACCGTGACGAAGCTTAGATGGGTTCATCTGATCGAAACAATGGTGCGATAGGAGCCTTTGACGTTGCGGTTTAACGTCGAGTATGAGTTGGCCTACGTGTCTGACCAGTGATAGCTGTTTCTACTTGCGTCGAGGTTTCTATTTATTCCAAGCGTTTCCAACGTTGTTCTATCATTCTAAATAGCACTAACAGGTCGAACGATACCCCATTCATTTCTTCGTGCGTGATTCTATCAATAATAATCTGTAAGACTATGCCTGTTGGTTTTTTGGGTGTCGTATCTGTTCAAAGAACGAAGGATTGACTCAAGGTGATCGTTAAGAACGTCGCCACGAAATTAGTTCGTCTGATGGGAAATCTGGTTCGCCTTATAAGAGAATAAAATCCCGAAATATTCTTTGTTCGGCGAACAATACCGCTGCGAACGACAGCCAAGCTCGACTCGGAGACACGATAAACGAAACAAAGAGGAAAGCCAGTCGATCCGGTGGCTCTCGTCCACGGTCAACTTCTCTCGAATCGAACGCTCGCTTTGGTTACTTATTTCCCCCGGCACCCTACCGTGTGCGTTTCATTTCGTTTCGTCGCGTTACAAAGAGCCGACGGAACTGTCCGCGAGAGAATGCGCGAGCCATGAAAGGGAGGGAAAAAAAAATAACCGCGAGACACAATCGAGCGTTGCGGTGAATCACGTTTATTTTCCGTGGCGTGAATCGGTCGCTGGCGTCGCGTTTCCCCGATAGAAGGGAAAAACCCGCCCCGTCCCAGGCCTGTTCTCACTGTGGTTTGCTTTCAGGTAAAATAAAATACTCGGAGAGGGTGTACGACGCGTGTATGGACGCCTTCGACTGTCTGCCGCTCGCCGCCCTCATGAACCATCAGTTCCTCTGCGTGCACGGTGGACTCTCGCCAGAAATTCACAATCTAGAAGACATACGCAAAGTAAGTGACACGATTACACGACGGTTCAAGTAGAATATTCTATAGTCGTATGGTATATCGTTATCCGAGTATCAGAATTTAACAGGTTCACCATCACCATTTCGATATTATTAATATTCTTATTAAATAGTGATGAATTTCCTTTTCATAGACAGTCGGAATTGCTTCGTAAATTATAATATAACCGTCAAATATTACTTCCACCCTCTCTTTTTCGCGAAGGTGAATCTTGGTTTTCCGATGCATCTCGGTAAGGAAACATGCGAGTCGACATCCTTCGTTATTCTCGGTCGAATGCACTCGACATTCCGTCTCGAATTCCGAGTATTTTTATTTCCACTGATACTCGTAAAAATTCGCTCGCGTTGGATCTGTACCCGGGACTTTAGATTCCATCTAGAACGACGATGCGTTCATGCTGTAAAAAAGATGGAAGATTCAAATTCAGTCGCAGATTTAAAATACTCGACAAAATTCTGAAAATTGCTAGAATAACAGATACACGAAGTACGATATCAAATTAGATAGATTGAATAAGTTAAATAGTTTAAACTGTAGGTTTACAGAACACGCTTTCATTTTGGCCCGTTCCTAATTTCACCAGATCTTACGAAAACCATTTATATTTTTTTCCGAATAAAAATACAAGAATCTATCTGAACTCATTTTTGTTTGAAGCATTACTTCGGTAACAGAAATTTGCTAAGAAATCTTCGTGAACCTAGAGTTAGATGCGTCTTACTCGTAGCTAGAATGGTTGTAAAATAAATCGATAGAAAATTCAGCCGAAAAACGTGTGAAATCTGGCGTGAAAGAAAAAAATGAAGGAACAAACACTCGTTTGACGTTATCGAGTAACTTGAACTGGCTGTTGCACGATACCACATTGCAGAGGGATGCGTTGCAGCCGTATGGGAGCGATTTTACGGGTTTTCGCGCCTCAAAGGATCGCCAATATCGTCCTGACGGCGGCGCAAATTTCCATATCAAGGCATCTCGAAATACCGTCGATAAAATCGCTCGGAAAAAGAAGCATTCGATTTCAAAGTCGCGCGGATTCCACGGAACGCGAACGGAATCCCTTATCCTGCGGTTTTTAATTCGCTGCGCTCCGTCCCGCCGATAAATATGGAAAGACCCTAACCGCGGTAGGGGAGCTCTGAAGGGTTTCGAGCCCTTTGTCGAGCCGCGTAACAAAGAGTCGCGTTAATTAATTAGACTATCGACTACCCGTGGCACTGTGACGTTTACCAACAGGATTTCCAGGATTTTCACTTTTCTAGATCTGTTCTCTAAAACAAACGACCATATTCAACTGTCAGGACCTTTCAGCAATTTTTTATGCGCACCGGAACCTTTTCGAATACCACAGGAAATCTGTGGAATGGTTCTCATTACTTAAAAAGTAGTCAGAATTTTTTAGCTAACAGATGTCTCTACTGTCCCAGATTTCTAGAAAAGTGATTTATCGTTACTAATGGCGCATTACGTCCTTCATTACATCCTTTATTTTACCAATAATATAATTAATATATTATATTTATTTTTCCCCCAAAGGGGGTTGGAAAACGATATTCGTCATCGAGTAAGCGTCCCAGAGGCAGGGTTTATCGCGAAAGGATTTCGCCGGGGTAATGAATTTTCTGGACGAATTCGAGTTCAGCCAGTTCTGACGCAGAACCAGGAGAGCTTCTCTCTCGGGACAAGTTTTAAACGACGCTTATAAAACGTGTGCCTGTGCACTAAATGCATGGAAACGGATGTGCCGTTTTTATTTTCCTCCCTTCGTGCGCGTGCCCTCCGAGAACTCCATGGAAAGTTCCGTTCGAGCGACTCTTGCCGAGATTGTCTCAGCTGTCTTCTTATTTTTCACCCACGGCTCTCTTCATCCCCTTCCGCGTCGTTTCCGTGACGAGTCATGAATTCGTCCAACACCCGCGCGGCGTTGAACAGTTTTTCCTTTGCGAAAATACGTTTGCCAGGCTCAAAAATAAATAAATAAATAAATGGAGGGTCAGAGGCGGGGGAAAAGTAGAATAAAAAATAAATTGTAGGGGAAAGACAATTTAATTATTTAAAATCGGAGAAGCCAGAATCTACGTGAGCCAAGTTGAAGGAGAACCTAGGTGGTAAAGGAAAAGAAGTGGAAAGAGAGATGGGGGAAAAAGAAAACGAAGGGGAGGTGCATCTGTATCTGGCAGATTACGAGGTATTTCTCGTGGGAGAACGAGGAGTGGTTAACCCTCTTCTTCCAGCTTGCTTCCCGTTTATCGAGTCCCTCTTTTCAGCTGCAACAATCGCGGAAAATAAGCCAGCCGCGGGTGTAGGCGGGACAGAGGGTACACGAAGGGGTGGCTGCACGCGGAAAATCCATAGAAGGGAGTAAAAGGCTGAAACTGGGTGAAGTTCGACGAGTCGGAAATATTCACCGGGTATTCGCGATAATTTGCATCGACGTTATCGGTCGTTCCTCTTCGATTCAATTGCAGCCTCGATATTTTAATGGTCGGTCCCAGGAAGGATATGAATCGCTGCACTCGATTCGCAAAATACTCTCTTCTTTTCAAGAGAAGTGGCCGCTGTATCGCTCCCTCGAAGTTCGTCGATGTTTAATCGGTTCGTTATTCTTCCCTTTTTTTTTTTTCTTCTCATAATCACTTGAATTCGATGCTAGTGTAAATATATTGCAAGAGGTGTTCCTATCTAAAAGTAGGTTTTATTTGAAAACGTATCCTCTGAATTTTAATTAGACAATACTTAGAGTTATATTTTACTATTCTATAGCAAACGATATACCGCTCCATTTTTCATTTTTCTGTCAAGATTCTATGCATGGGAATGTCCCTGCGTCATTTTTACAATCAACAATTCCACAATTGCTTTCGATACACGAAAAATACGTTGTCCCCGCCTATCCTTCTCCATTATCTGGGCGTATGGGTTTCCTTTTCACTTTCTCTCGGAATCGAACGCGCAATAACGATTGGATCGTTTATTTTCCATCGATGATCGAGAGTTTCCAACCCCGCAGGGTTGCCCAAAATATGCTGGAAATTCTGGCTAGGCGTGGGGGGACATTGACAAGTATGCAATATTTATCAGAGCCGCATAGATACGTCCCCTCGGTCTCTGTTATGTATTATTCCGCGTGGTTCTATGTAAAAGACGGGTTTTGCGACCGCGAGCAAGCGATATGAATACCAAATGTTGGCCAGGGATACAACACCCCCGTCCCACTCTCTCCTGTTTCGGCATTTGCATGCCCACCTTCGAATACTGGCCCACTAAGCTCCCCATCTATTTTTTTAGCGACTACGCGAAAAGGGAGGACACACGGTTAGCCCTACAATCCATCAAACGATACCTCTTCTTATAAAAAGACTGGAATTTTCTTTACGATTCATAATCGTTGTCCGAGCAAGGATTTTCGGAATATTTTCCAGCAATCCGTCAACTAATTTATTTTGAATTCTCCATTCTTGGAGATGCTTAATGATCCGTGGTCCATTATCGTTCCGAAGGAGTCTTCGATACACGTGATCGAGTATATTAATCCTTAGTGACGTGATAGAAAGAAAAAAAGAATTAAAAAATTAAATGCTTAACGATCCAACTTCCTCGTAATTTTAGTTGCTTCTATTCCACTTTAAAAATGTCGAAGCAGTTAGTTGAGTAATAACGCAAGTGACGCGAGCACCAATTCGTTCCGAACATTCCAACCCTTATCTCAGAGTCATCTTGAGAAGAAGACGCGAACGTCCAGCGTAATGTTCGTAGTAATTTCGTTCGCGAAGACACAAAGTCCTTTCTTCGTTGGATTGGAATATTCTACGCGACTGAGTCCAAGTATTATTTAATAGGGGAACTTCCATTGGCTGAAAGGAAATTAGTCGTAAGCGTGGTACGTTGTTAGAGCATCCTTCGTTTATGCATAGAGCTGTATTATTGGACGAACAAAGGAACGGTTCGAGACTGGAGAGGAACGGGGATGAATTCTTCGTCTTGTTAATCCTATCGAGAGCTACTCTTAATCTTTTCATTGCCGTCGCTGCACCACTGTACCGTATAAAATATTTTGCTCCGTTTTGTCGGGGTTTATAAATCACTATAGTAATCGCAGCCACGTTGATTCACCACGACGACTCGTAATTTCTATGTGTCAGACATTTAACTCTCCAGTTTCATCTTGTTCGATACTTTTTCATATTATGGAGTGTTTATCCACCTCTTACTTATCAATCTTTTGTTCAGATAAAAATTTAGCCTAGAATTTGAGATATGTCTGACTAGAAACGTACGTTTCCACTTTTGGCCGACTCCAGCCAAGAATATATTCCGCGGGACATGAATTATTTCCGCGACACACGGATCGCCAGGAGCGTGATCGTTGTAACCAAGTTGGAGCTGGTAGCTGTTTTGCAAGATTTAATTCAAATTCAGAGGGTGAACTCGATTCTACGTCGCAGTAAGCGAAGTTAGTTAAGTACAACGATATCTGTGTGCATGGTGCGCCATGCGTGTTTCTTAGTGCGCGAAGGCTGTGCAGCGAACGACGCCCACCCGGGAGCGCAATCGTTTACAGCGTAACGAACACAGTTAACGAGCAATTAATATGCCCGTTAAATGCGACGGAGCAAAATGATGAGATCGTAAAACGCGCGAAAACTCAAACGAATGCGTTCGAACAAAAGACGATTCCTGTGTTTACTAGATCATTGCAATTTATTTCGAGCAAAAAGTGTATAAAGTTACATGGTATTGTCTAAAATGATCAGAAATTTCGATGGATAGGACTGGCAAGCGATTTACAAGTCGTGAGATGGGGAGCGCAAGTGGTAGTGGACAGGCTATGGTCGGACTCGAGTGGAAAGTCTCGATATAAATTATTTACGGACCCAAAAAAAAAAAAAAGTTAATTAAAAATACCACTGGTTGCCTCATTTTTGGTTCAATTCCTACGATAGTAAACCCGCTATTGTTTTACAGACCCAACTTTGGTCTGGTTTCGAAATTTTCAAAGAACCTAGTAAACATTCGCGAGTGGATTACGATCAAGGGAGTCACGTATCGACTGTTCAGCCGAACCTGATGCGGATTTTGGGGGGCGTAAACGAGGCGGCCACTTTGGCCAGGGCAATAATGTCGATGATATTACGTCTGGCGTTATTAGGTGCAAACTGCTCGTTACAGTGTAAACTGCATTCCCGTTTCTGCCTGTTTAGGAGGCGCTCGTGCCGTGTGTCGGGTCAACTAATACCATTCAACATAATTAGCGTAGCCCATTATGATCAAAACTTGCTGTACACGGGCCATCAGTGCTCCCTGTCGCGCGGCAAACAGAGACAACGTCGATACGTCAGTGTTAAGTCAGCCTGGTCACAGTTCGGTAATTACGCCGTTGGTTATTATTGGAAACGTTTCGACGACACGCGCGGGACCGACTCTTCTTCTTTTTTTATCATTTTTTTTCTCCACCTTCACTGGTAGTGGATCACGGGTCGATTAATCGAGCCAGTTTCCGTTTCAGATGAGAAGCAATCGACGCGAAAACGAACCCAGAAGCCTCGATATCATCGCCGTTGTATTATCGCGTGGACGGTGATTTTCAGGAGAATTTAACGCGAATTTCACGAGAATTTCCCTAGTTGGTCCAATCCTGAATCGGCGAGAGCTGACAATGGTGTCGCTCGACACATTCCTGACGTTAATTTAGAGGGAACCGATCCGAAATTTCAATTGTGGAATGAAATGAAATTAATTCTGTACGCGAAAGTGTCGCTATTCCAAATTTTAAGGTTTTTTGTTCTTTGAGTAGATGCCCTAATGTTTTAGAAGATTGTAGTTCCACAAACGGTGATCGAATCCCCCGAAATTGAACAATTCCGATGAAGCTGAACGGCACGAATATTTAAAAGTTTCTCCGCCGAGACGCGGCTTTACTCCCGTCACCCGACTGGAAAGGATGAGGTGGAAGTTTTATCCGAGACTCCTCTGATTTCCCTCTAATTCCGACGGAGCTCTAGAAATAAATCTGGGACAGAGGTCGCGAGTTATTTGAAAACATCGAATCTATTATTTAATTTAGACAAACTTCTTTAAGAAGGTACGAACATTTACGATACTGATCGTAAGTGTAAGAAGTACAAAGATGTTTCAGTGAACAGTTGCTCTGGATAATTTGATTAGAATTAGATAAAATTTAGTGACATAGTGTTTTAATACTCACTGGTGTCAATGTTGCTGTTGCAGTTGGACAGGTTCAAAGAACCTCCCGCGTTCGGACCCATGTGCGATCTCCTGTGGTCGGATCCTCTGGAGGACTTCGGGAACGAGAAGAACGCGGAGCACTTCTCCCACAATAGCGTCAGGGGTTGTTCCTACTTTTACAGGTAAGCGAATGAAAGAATTATTCAATAACATCTCGCAATTTCGCAAGAAAAGTGACACGAGTCAGAAAAGAAAACTGACCACTTTGAAAACCATTTCAAAGCGTGTTACGCGTAGGTAAACTTAAAGGAAGCGATAAATTATTTAGGTTAATTTTTTCTAGAAGTAATTCGAATTTTCCCGTGTAAAGTCCGATATTTTTAGATCACGATTGATACATAATAAAAATTTTTTTTATTCTTCCATCAGTGTCACGATTCTTGCGGAGGTGCGACATATCAATCACGTATCAATTCCTCAAGCATAAATTTTCCCAAGGCATAAATGAATACAAAACGCAAAGAATTCTCTATATATGGCTCCATGCTTCGTCCCTCGTTCGAATAAATTTCTCCCCTAATCAACACCTTCGTTTCCGAACAAATTCTTCTTTGTTCCCCGAACAAAAAAATTTTTCGACGCTCTCTGGGTCGCCTCGCTCAACGAGAAATTCCCACCCATTTTCGTTTCACTTTCAGCCCCATCCTGGCCACGTCTTTTTCCACTTTTTCCACTTTTTCCGCTCTCGCTCGTTACCCCATTCAACGAGAGTAATTACCTAGTCGTTTGTCCCGACGAACGGTCGGAAGCGAGTGGTCGCGATCGCGGGACACGGAAACCAAACGAGCCAAACTTTGGGACAAGTTTCGCCCGGAAGTTTCTCCTCTATCCGTGTCCCCTCTGGCTACTGATACCAACCTAGCCCCCTCTCTTTTTCCGCTATCCAGGGAAATTTTAATAACAATCGCCTGGGAATGGTAGGCTTTGAATCACTAGCTCTCTCTTGGGGACACTTTCGAACGACCGCGATAAAAGTTTCAAGAAAGCCACCGTGTCGCCGTTATCCTTTCCTTTCTAGCTCCAACCGGAGACTCCATGTTGCGATCCCAATGAAGAACAAAGGGATCGCGCAACGAACTCCCATTAATTTGACAATTCAAAAGAAATTGATTTTCGAGAACGTATTTTAGTACATGAATGTACAAATTTCATTTGCTCGAGTTTATCAGCAAACAATATTCGTAAATATTCTTGAAAAGGGTGAAAAAGATAAAGGTGCAGTGTTCGAGAAATTCAATTTCGCTGCTATCAAATTTGTCTCGGGCGTTTTCCTCTTTCTCGGGGCAAGTCCTTCGCCATTGGAGAGATTATCAACGCCCAGACGTTATTTTGCTTTCCTCGGTGGAAAGTTCTGTCGTTGAAATCGAACGGTCCCGAACACCATGGGAACGCGCGAAATGAAATTTTTCGTTATCGCGATGGGAAACAGGGGAGAAGGCGCTGAAAACGTTAGTTCGATAAACGCGATAAGCGGTTCGACGAACGCAGGAAACGGGGAAAATACGGGCGAAAATAAGCGAAACACCCCCCGAGTCCATCGATGGCGCTGCCAGGCATGAATAATTGTGAAAATACCGTGGAAGGAGCGTTGCGTTTATGCTGTTCGTTTAAACAGAACGATTGAACACTATCGATAAACAATTCTCTTAGATTTCACTCGTCAACATTATTCCTGTGGTCGAAATGATACAATTTTTACACTAAATGTACCGAAATTTTATTTGGTCTTAACCAACAGTAACAGGACTTGCCTGTTAATGTACTAAAAAAAATCAATTTTCTTTGTATATGTATCATATGAATTGTACTGTTTTAATAGTATTGACAGGTTCATGAAACGGGCCACAAGTAGTCCAAGCGCGGATTTGTTCAAACGGTTTGACCACGCACGTGACTGTACTACTAAACTCCGACAATTACGTGGTCGTAGATTAACGTTGTTTACGGGCAACGATTTCGTAACCCGGCGTGATTCCGAGGATAATTAGCCCGGCTAATGAAGAGGAATCGTGTTTTGCCTAAATTCATTCGAAATTAATTTTCATTGGTAAACGAACGGCTGTCCGACCACGTATCGTCCTATACTACTAAAACCTGACGTCACTCTGATCCATTCGATTCTTGTTAACTAATGCAAGGTTACGGTTGAAATTAAAGTTTCAAATAGAATCTATTTCGATACTCTTCGAATCATTCCTTTTCTTTAAACAATGTCTTCATCACAGAGCAATGAGAAGCTCTACTAATCACCCGTACTAATAACGTTAATCAAGTACCAAAATTTTTACTTCGCTATTTTTATAACACATCCGAGGTCCAATATGGCGAATTTCGTGCCTGGTCAGCGATTCTAGCAGTTGAGGGTCCCTCGACCGTCTCATTAATCATTGTCTCGGTGTGAACGGTACCTAATGGTCGTTAGCGACCTTGCCTTTACCTGTGCGCGAGCGTTTCTCACGGTCCTTGGTCGGGTCAGTTATAAGCGCGCGAAAAAGGTCGGTCGTCTGACGTCTGCCGCTTAATTTGTTTACACGACATCGACGCGAACGCCTTAGACGCCCAGCGTCGCGACAGCCTTCGGGGCTGGATTGATCCTCGCTGTAAACAAACACGACCGCGAGAAAAAAGAATATATATTAGTCTAATAATTGCGAGACTTTGCTCAATAGCCGCATTCCCATCTATTTAAAATTTATGTAAAAAATTGGTGGACTAAAAAATTCTGTTTCACTAAATCGAAGCATTCGAAGCATTCGTTAATAAAACAGAACTTCTTGTGCAGAATCGCATTTCGTGAAATAATTTTATAAAACGTAATTTGGCATTTATCTCGATAAACAAATGAGATCTCTCGATACACGAAACGGAATTTCAAGCCAGCTTTATTTCGAAAATGCCACAGTCGAAAATTTCGAACGATTTCCACATCGTTAACGTGTCCGATAAAACGCCTCCCCCCCTCGGGAGTCGGACCACCATTGAAATTCAGCTGACATCGGTAACGAAATGATGGATCGTCATTCAACTTCATCTTGGATTCTGTAGCTCGCGATGAATGATGCGCGCTGCGAATTGATTTATCGCTGGGGGGGAGGGGGGAGGGGGGCTTAGCGCTCTCCTGCTCGACGGGGCGGATTAAAAGTTCAAATATTCAGGCAGCTGGGGCACGTTGTTTCCAGTAAACTCTCTGACATCCCCCTGGGGCTTGATCTGTCCCGCGAAATTGTTCGCGCTGAAAGACCACCGCGACGCCGGATTTATTCTATTAGGATGCTCCTGTGACAATACTCCTTGTTTCGGTCACTCTGTTTCCCTGAGTCTTTTTAAAACGTCGAAATGGATATTTATCATTGGCAGGATAACCATCATTTTAGCTTCACAATAGGAGGACATGTATAATTTGATATTTTTGGTCGATTTTAATTGATTCGAGATCAATTATATTGGGATGATAGTAAATGCGCTAAAGGGTGTCAAGAATAAATTAGGTAAATTGCTAAGTTTATTGGTCAAGGTTAATAGTAAACAAAAATTCACTTAACGAATTACGGATTTTGAGATGCGTGATATTTTCTGGGACATCCTAAAAATATCGTTTGCGTGCATACGCTTCTCTTGCGCCACTGTAATTATAAATTCGGCTCGCGTTGCTGGCTTCACACAACGATACCTATCGCATCGAGGGGGTAGTCTGCGCCAAAGAGGGCGAATTAGGCTTTTCTTACCTATTAGTTTAGAAAAGGGGTATTAATCTCATTCGTATGTTCACCCACGCTTGAGTACGCTCGACTAACCATCCCTAAAGTTATCATAATGAACAATTAAAATGTAGTAAAGAATTTCCAGACTCACTACAACATTTCCAATAATAATTGGGTGCTGAATTAGTGCCAAATAGGAAATTGATGATAAAACGGTTCGAGTTGTGGTCTCGGCCAGAATCGATTCCGCGGGACGAGCGTCGGATGACGATGATTTATCGGTAGCATTATAATTTCTAAATGCTCGGCCCGTACTTCTGTTATCGCGTTCGATCGCCGGATAAAATTACTCCACGAGAGAGTTATCACGAGTTTTCGCGTGCAACCTCGCGTGCGGGCCCGCGGCAACGCCAAGCAAAATTGTCGAGAGCGTTTTAAGCTTCCCTTGCATCGGGCTTCCGGCCAACCTTCAACACAAATTTCACGTACGCCATTTAATTCGACCTGTTATCTTTTTCCACCCATATTTACCAGAAACACGATGGAAACAGAACTCTCCACTTTGAAAATTAAAAAAAAAAAACACCCTAGAAATACTACGTGTATATTTATTTAGTTTTTATTATGGAATTGTCAATATTAAGAGAAACGTAAATGTTTGAAGTCGAATATTTGTTTTTAGTTAGTACTGAAAGTAACGTAGTCGTCGATGCAATAATTACTGGATATACATGCAAACAGTAGCAGTACCGACTGGCTAACACAGTTCAGATTAGAATAGATCAACAATTCCCTGCAATAAATTCAATTTTCCATATTAACCAACCTCCAAGGTTCCCTAATTCAGCCTCCACGTAAATTCATGGATATCTCAGCAATATATCTCCAATATACTAATAAATTTATTGTTCACGAGCGCCATAAATAAATTCATACGCATCCTCGAAGGCAATATATTTAGAATATTTTCCAATATATCGCACGACGAGTAGCCAATGAATTTTGTTTACGTTCCCTCGTAATTCCACCTCGGAATCGAACTGTTTCCTCCCGACAACAGACGGAAATACCTCTCAAGTTTTACTGGTCGCGTAGCAATCATTTCTCCCCCGTGAAAATTCCCCGTATAATTCGCTCGGCGCTGGGCTGGTTTCAGGTGAAATTAAGTGCGTTTTCAGTCTACGCCGAACGAACGATAAATCATCGTGACGCGACGACGACGCGATAAAATGTGAGCAATATTTTGCCGCGTCGCGATTGCTCCGTATTGAATTTGACGGCCGACAGATAGTTTCTGTTGCGTGCGATCGAAAGCAAACGAATTATCTTCCTCGACAAAGCCTCTCGCGTTGCACGTCGGATTTCATAAACTTCGAAAACAACCACGGGAAAACGCGACGTTCGTGCTTGCCCTCTAATAGAGGTACAAAGAATTTGGATGTATTCCAAAAATGCGATAAAAAATAGTTCCAACGCAACCCACTTCAAAAATCTGCCGCAGAGGGCTGGGAACGAGTGAAATCAATCCGTGGTTTTCATATTAAAATGGAAGAATGAACGCAAGACACTTGAAAGTTCGAACACTCCCAGGAGGTTGCTCGCGACCCCTGTTCGCCGGATGGAGGTCACCGCGTTTACGAGGACGAAATAAATGGTCGGAGAGCTGCGCGGAGGTAGACGGTTTTCACGTAAGGTTTTACGAGTACGTCTTTCAGGATGGTGGTATGGTTGAAAGAAAGCTGGGGGAGGAGGTCGAGGCATCCCGAACGTTCTCTTTATAACGCCGCGACCATTACGGAATTGCTACTAGACCAGCGGCGCATTGATAAAAGATCTCTTGAACATTACGAGCGTATCTCGCCATTTCGCGAACTGCACTTTGCCGTTCGACCGATGGCGTAATTTCTCCTTGGACTTCCCCGACGTTTCAACATTTTCTCGCCCCGCCATTTTAATAGAAAGGAAGTGCCTCGAGGGGTTACAGCATCTTAAATCCACGCGATGAATCTTGGCAATTAATTCTAGTGGAACTACACGGTCGACAAATTTAGACTTGTACCACGTCGATGTCGTCGATGTCTTTCGAATTTTCGAAAGTGTAACTTTTTATCCTAAGAAGTTACGCTTGTTACGCGCTACATTCCACACACCCTCTCCTTTTTATTCCAAAAATCAATTTCTTAATGTTATTTCTGATATACTAAAGTATCACGTGAACCAATCGACTCTGCTTGGTTGGTGTTGCAGTTACGCGGCGTGCTGCGACTTTCTGCAGAACAACAACCTCCTCAGCATCATAAGGGCACACGAGGCGCAGGATGCAGGGTACCGTATGTACCGAAAATCCCAGACGACGGGCTTCCCATCGCTAATTACTATCTTCAGCGCGCCCAACTACCTCGACGTTTACAACAACAAGGTGAGCTATGGCCTGGCAAACACGAAAAGCGAGCGCATTCCCGATTCTCTTTGAAAACAAGGTCAACTTCACTCTTTAGAAAGCTAATACTCGGTAAATGTCACAGGCGGCCGTGCTGAAGTACGAGAACAACGTCATGAACATCAGGCAGTTCAACTGTTCGCCCCATCCCTATTGGCTGCCCAACTTCATGGATGTTTTCACGTGGTCTCTCCCGTTTGTAGGTGAAAAGGGTAAGAGAAAAACCCATTGGTTACTTAAATCATCGATCTGCAACAAAATTTGTCACAGCGAGCATTGCAACTAGTGGCGCCATTAGTTCGCGTACTCGTCGTGCGCTGAAATCCAATTCTGCCTAACATATTTATACCTAATATCATTTTGATGTCACTTTGTCGAGTTCCAACGATTCCCTTTCGATGAAAGTTCCCTGCGCGAGATAACTAAACATTCCCTTTCCCTTTGCAGTCACAGAGATGTTGGTGAACGTGCTGAACATCTGCTCGGACGACGAGCTTATGAGCGACGGCGACGACGGGCTCGAAGAAGGTAATGTCCACTGTTACTTCACCTTTGTCGTCCTTTCCGTAATACGATCACGTTTCTTACAGAGATTCTACTCTCTTTTTTTTTTTTTTTTCAATTTTTTTTTTCTATTCCCTCTCTTCGAATCGACGTTTTTACTGGTCCCTCTTACATCGTGATCAGAGTGTTCTTTTCTGTGTACCTCGTTTGTTGCTTAAACGATTAACAGGATCGAAGGGAACGATTATTCCTGTGTTCCGATACTTCAACGTAAGCGATACTTGCGATGCTGTTTGAATTTTTTTCACGCAATTGGAGTGCAAGTTTGAAAGCAGTACGGTATGAATTTTTGAACCGATACTCGGACATCTTGGCACGTTTATTTTTCGTAGGCTCTGTTATAAGGTTTTGAAACATAGGCCATTGGGAATTGAACTGTTCAACCTGCTCTAAACACGATTTAAGAGAGGCCATGTTGGAAGTTTGGATCGCGAGGATTTAACATCGACAATCGAACGTGGAGGCCCACCTAGGGTCTCCGAATCGTCGCGTTCATCTAAAGTAAGGATCGATGGCTTAACTGCGAAGATTGACTTTACTATCGGCAAGAAAGTTTTTAGGAGAATTTTGATTTTCCAGGATCACTGATCAATTGTTCTCTAATAGTACGTGTGGATACAGTGTTGTTTTAAAGTGAATCGAATGATATTTTGTTCTTTACAATATTTTCCAAAAATACGAAACGTACGTTATTATAACTTTCTTTTCAACCTCGTATCAGAAACCATTTGTCGGACGTTATCAGCTTCGCAGCCACGCCTCGATCCGCCTAAATGAAATCCTGCGTCACGCGAATATCCAAACCAGCCCGCACGTCACTTTCAAAATTTTCTCTCACCTTTCTCGAGAAAACGAAATCGAAAATCAACCCTATTTAAAGTTTCGACGAATACTTCGAAACTCGAAAAAGAAAACCCAAACTTTTACCCTCCCCCCTGCCCCCGTCACGAATACAAATGAAATGAAAAAAAAAAAAAAGTAGTCCCGCGCGGTCTCGACCATCGCAGGAAGATTTTGAATTCTCTTTCTGTTTCCATTTTTCACCCGCTGCACGGACAGATGGTAAGAAGCGCCACTCGACTCTTCTAATCGTCACATTATTAAGAGCTTCATTGATTATCATTGATTATTTTTTAAGCTGTTTCATAGATAGTGTCAGTGTGTCGAGTTTCTCTCTTTGCATCGAAACATTTCTTTTTCTCACCTGTTTCTCTTTTCTTCTTTACCTCCGTATTACTTGTGTCTATACATGTTATATTTTACCCTTATCTCTCGAGCCGGGGAGCAAAAGAGGAAAAAAGAAAATCAGAATTTACCGTTCGCGTGTTCATACACTCTTTTTGTTTGAGTCGAGATCACACGCGCGAGATTCGCCATTTTGTTCTCTTCGCATCCATCCTCATATTCATGTGGTTCGTACGTCTCTTATCGGTGTACGAGCGGATTTTTTTTCTTATTTTCTTCCCCTAGCTCTCTATGTCTATCTGTGTCTTACTCTAACTCTTTATTTCTCCCTCTCTATATTTATGATATCTATCTTTGTTTCCTCTCCTCGACTGAATCTATCTTTTTATATATATATATATATATTTATTTATAAATATACGTATACCTCGATGGCACACTGCCTGAATTCTTGACGTTGTCACCCGGTAGACTTTCATTTTCTGCATCGTTGCGATCATAGTACATAGACGATATTTTTTCTCACCCTTCGTTCGGCGGCGTTCACGATGGCGTTCACTTTTATATTTAAAAAAAGGAACAAAATATTACAATTCTCCAATCCTCTAAAAATTAGAGTCAAAGAATGCAACAAATTTTAAACTCTACTATCCCTCCTTTAAAAAAAAAAAAAAAAAAAAAAAAAAAATTAATCCTCTAATAATATTAAATTAATTTTTTTTATAAACCTGCAACCCCCGGACGCCATCTTGAATAATCTTAAATCTTATATCACGCATGCAACGATCGCTCCAACGTCGAATCCACGCGAGTGGATTCGGTGTTACTTGAAACGATGTCTCTGTACTTCCTTTCGTTTCTCTGATTTATTCCGCTCGACTGTGCGTGTCTGTGTGTGTGTACCATTGTCCGAGTTTCCGAAGTCAATTTTACTTTCTCTCGTGTCACGTCCATCCCAGCCCCACTTTGGCCCACTTGTACTCTTCTGCACCGTACTTTTTATTCCGTTTCTTTCGGTATGGCCCTTTCCCCCCCACCCCTCGGTACACGTTTCATGGACGCGGATAGTTTCCTGAACTTTGGGCGAATGCTGTTTCTCGATCCCCTTGGAGCTGCGATTTTTATTCATTCTTCGATAACGAGAGAGATTTGGAACAAAAATATACTGAAATATTTTTAATTCATTTTTCTTAGTAATCACTGTACGAAAACGTACCGTAGCAATTCATTCTTTAAACTGCACTTGTTTATTGTTTGACACCGATAGATTGAAATCAAGATGCTTTAGTATTATTTTTCTTAGCGATCGGAGCAATGGCATCTACGTTTATATAAAACTTCAACGTTTTGACTCTCATTTGCGTGCTCTATTTTCTTAAAAAACAAAGAATAAATAACACAAAAGCCGATCGAGAAGCAACAATCCCCATGAGTCCACAGAAATGAAGCAAAAACCACCCTCGAACGCCTCCCGACGATTCTTTGTATCGCCAAAGTACAAAAAGCACCCCTCTGCCCCCCCCCCTCACCCTTTACGAGGAACCCCAAGAACCCCCCTACCCCTTCAGCCCACAGAAGTTGCACTGACTGTCTTTTATCGTACTCCTTCTCTATTATATTTGTATCAATCACACTGGCCTTGGACTCCTCCTATCTCGGCACGACACTATGCTACTACTACCTCTACTTCTACTACTACTACTTCTACTACTACTACTACTACTACTACTACTACTACTACTACTACTACTACTACTACTACTACTACTACTACCACTCAAAACTCCGTTGTTCGGCATACGCAACTCCCCGTAAAGTCGCAGCCAAAGTCGTTGTCCAAAAAAAGAATGGTAAGTCCCCGAGAGAGAGAGCCGACGACTTACTTGACGCAAAAGTTTTTTGAACAAGCCACGTATTAACCCGTCAGAGTTGTAAATTCTGAACAGACGACACGGGCACGCCTCTGTACCCGTGTGTAAACGCCTGCTATATGTATATATGACGCGTGCATGTATACATATACGTATATCGAGTAAAATTAACGAAGTTTTCTTTTTCTGTGTTTTCTTTAAACGTGAGCGGGCGCGAACACGTCCAGGTCGATTCTGCTGGAATTAGGTGAGACTAGTTGTCATCGGAGATGGGGAAAATTTTGTTCTGGTATCCAATGACAGACTATTTATTTTATTCTTCTACTTTGGAACTCGATATTTCGCTTATGTACCACTGTACCGATTGAAACAAATTTTCACTCCAGCATTGGTTAGTATATTCTTCGATTCAAATTCATTTGAAATCTGCTCAGTTATTTCGTGTCCAATGAAAAATTTTGCCCGTCTCTCGCATTTGCAAAGTTGAGTAAACCACGCAGTGCCTTGTATGAGAGAGTAAGAAGATGAAATAATTCACTGGAAGTGATTCTCAGTCGAATTTTCCGCAGATTCCTATCTCGCTTCTATTCGTTGCTCGGACGCAGACGTTCTCCGTCAATTCAGTAGTCTAGATAGAGAATTAGAAGGCTAAGTAGAGTCCACGTTGCCGCGTAAGTAGAAAACCAAGGGAATGTGCCGACGCCAGCAGAACGGCCTCGCGACGTGAGTTCCGCGCAGGCCATAGTTCTCTCACTTGTTTTGTCTCTTTGTTCCTGTATAACTACTTGCATAGTTTCATGTATACGTGCATACAGGGTGTACGACTCGAAACGGACCGTCTAATTAATCGTTTTCAGCTGAGGAAATATTTTATTTGTTATTAAAATGGTTTCAAAGAGCAAATATAATTAGTAACCTATAGTGTACAGCCCTTTATAAATTTATGAAGTATGCAAATATGAAGTATGCGTGCTAAATATATTTAGGGTGAATTCACGAAGGGAAATTAAATTTTTTACGTATCTGTGGAGAAGCTTTTGGGTGTACAACGATAGAGATTAATTTTTGACAGTCTTGGAATAAAGTAAAGATTGTATCGCTGAACGATGAATACATTTTCAAAGTAAACACCGTATGAAAGTAACATCAACCAACATCGATTAAAATTAAACAATTTCTTCATTTGAATTTTAAATCAGAATTTCATGAAAATCCTTTTTCAAGACATTTTTCTCGCATGTTCACAGGCACTGAAACCCTTCTAATAACAAATATCTTCCCCTCAAGTCATAATCGAAGATAATTAAGCGATCTGTCTCGAGACCTGTCCATCCCGTCTGCGTGCAATCTCTGTCTACTTGTTCGTCTACTTCTTGTTCCTATTGCGCGTGCTCTGTAACCATTGAGTCTTTGAATCGAGATCACGATTAATCGGAGAACATGCTCTCCTTACGGTGTTCTCTTTTCTTTCTTGTCTTTCGTTCGTACTTTGGTTCTGTGTTTCTCTTTTACTTAGTTCGCCCCTTTGTGTTCTCGTTCTCTTTCGTTGGACCACGCCGCCTGTTACTCTTTTTTTCTCTTTTATTATTGTTTTTACCACCTGGTTTACCCCTGTATCTACTGACACGCTGCGTTTAACACGATCGCTCACCAATCACCCACGTCAAAAAAAAAAAAGAAAAAAGAAAAAAGAAAAAAGGAAAACGCCATCTCCTCTCCTCGTTTCGCGCCTCCGGTCCCCGCCTGGTTTTCGCTGCCGATTGGCCAACACTTTACGTCAACCGTAGCCTGATCCACTAACGATTGCGCCACCACCGGCAAAAAGTATTTGGAATAAAAGTGTTGATAAATATCGGTTAAAAAAATATTCCGAGTTAAGAGGGATCTCTGGAGCAGAAAGATGTCTTGGGAATTTTTGTTTAAAGAACGATAAGGATAAAAGGTTCTATGATTAACTTGGACGTATAAAATTAGATAAATTTAGTACTTTGTTGTTATTTATTTTCACGGAACGAGATGTAGAAAACGCTAGGTTATATGAGTCATCGTTTGTCGAGCATTTTACCAGCGATTAGTTTGCCCATGGAAACCCCCGAATTGGATACAGGAGGGCGTATTCCCTCGATCGATGGTCGACCAACGACAATACGTTTCTCTATGAACAATCCACGGATCAAGCGTTGACGGATGTACCGGGTAATCCCGGCGAAACACGGTTAATCTTCCACCGCGAACACGCCAGGGTAGCCGGTCGATTGTTTTCCACCCCCTCCACGACGTCGACTCTGTCTCGGAGGAGGACGAAATTTTATTCGAATAAAATTTGGCTAGTTTCTTCGCGAATAAATTCCAAGGAAAATTCGCTAACTCCGTCATTCGATAAAATCGCAAAGTCTTCCAAAATTAGAAATACGACCGGTCGATTGAAATCGAACCATTAAACGCCAAGGAATCGTTCGTTAACATCACCATCGCGTAGTAATTCTAAGTCAGAACCACGACTCGATTGAAACCGTGCCATTAAATTCCAAGGGACCATTCGTTAACCTTGTCATCCGATAGACATCAACCTTCCCACCGAAAAGAATCGCGAAGTCATTCGAAATCGGGAACACGACTCGTCGGTTGAACCAATAAATTCCAAGCACCCGTTCGTTAACTTTCGTTTGACAGACACGCCACCTTCCCGCGCGAAGTGAATCGAAAATGAGGGATACGTCGATTGAAAGCCATTGCATTCCGTGGAACCGTCAGACTTATATTCTAGCAGGGTGCTTCCCAAGTGGCGAAGGACTTTCCATCATTTTTATTTTCAATCGAATTTCAATCACTTGGAGGTATTGCAGATGCTAACCACTGATCTCGACAAATTTAGTAACAGAAAAATAATTGTAGATGTTCCTTATGAAAAAATATTGAGAAGCACCTGTGCATGATACTGTCCATTCGCCAGAAGAATGCATCTGGACCGCTTTAATCTTTCAAAATTACCATGTATAAAACCAATCCATTCCATTATGCAGTCTCAGACTATTTGAAAAGCGAAAGAGCACCACAATCCGTAGGCGTGGTCAGATTCATTCTTCTCCCTCGCGAGCAGTAGGTTCCCAGCGCGGTAGATCGTAATGCCTTTCGAAACCAGAGACACGGGACACCGGCTGAAATCGAATGGTTAGATTCGAGCAGTCAGCATTATTACCTCGTCAGAGACTTTTCCCCAAGCGCGAGTGCAGCTAGAAGCGAAAGAAAATAGCGAATGGCGTCAGGGCCACTCTCCTCTCTCTCAGCCGCCTCGAACTTCACACCTCCCTTTTCTCTGTGTATTTCTATTATTTCTATTTATCTTTTTCGTTCCCTCCCCGGTTCACATATAATAGACTGCGACGTTCCAGTCTGCGTTTCTCGGACAAAACGACGTTTAATCAGCGTTTAACCAAGATCGATTTGTTCCCAAATTATTATTGGCTTACCTGAATGGGTGCACCTGCCTTTTGAAGAGATTTTACAGATTACAATAATTAAATTGCTATTTTTTTTCTAGCGAATGTTATAAATAACTCTGTCTGTGGAAACATCGATAGCTGTTCTTGCATATTTTTTCTTTCGTTTAGTTAAACATTGAAATACTTCAAACCATCTTAAGAGATACAGGTGCACCTATTTAAATGAAAGCGACATTTCAACCAGCGATTCGACCACCAGTCCTCTACCCTTCGATCCAGCCCCTCTCGGCATCCCTCGTGCTTTCCTTTGCATCCCCAGCACGCTTTTCCCCGTGGCTGCGTTCGCGTGAAAGGAGACGTGGTAAAAGCTTTTTGCATCGACCCAGGGAAACTTGTTTTGCGAAGCAACGACTATTTTTTTCCATTAAGGAGTACAGGTTTTTTTTTTTTTTTTTTATTTTTGAGGAAAAACTAAAGCAACGTACGTAGTATACCTATCATTTTACCAAGGTGTTTAATATTTAGAAAAATGGAAGCTTCGTGGTTGCAACGAAGATAACTGGTTAATTCTCAATTTTTAATTTTTGATCTTACCGAGTTTTTTTTTTGTAAAATTCCTCTTTTTTTGAACAAACAGCCTCACCTTCGTTCTCCATTGACTCGAACGCTCCCCTTAATCACACGTGTCTTCCCCGATAGATTGCATCTAGTAACAGCAACCCTGTAGCAGGAAAAGCACACACCACGAAAAACTGTACCCTCTCTGTTCATGAAAACGTCACGAAACCCATTCGTCGCTCACTTATATATATATATATAAGTGAATCGTTTCTTTCATACAACCACGCCGTGTCCCTCAGTGTTTCATCGACCACCCTCACCCCAACTCTGTTTCCGACTGTCTTCCCTGATTTGCTCGTTTCTTAATCGTTTTTACGTTCCCTTACTACCAGATTCTTTTCTTTCGCGTTCTTTTTACAAACTCGCCTATTTTCTGAAGCGTCGCGACCGAAAATGCTTTCGTGTCGCGACGCGATCTTTTGTTCGCGCATGCTAGTGTCAAGTAGATCCTAGGATTAAATCTTAATCGATCCGATCGATCCCGCGCCTGAGATCGTCGGGGAATTCGCCTGATCGCGTCCTCGCCAGGAAATCATGTCTTTAGTCAACGCTACCGTTTGCCTTGCTCGACTCGTGTCTGTTGGTGTTGGACAGTAACGAATTTTAAGATCGGTTATTCATTGTGGTGCGACTAGTCTTTTAATAGTCACCAGTAAACTACCATTTGTAGTCTGCATTCGTAAGGTAATTGTGACATTTCTTGTGATTATATACGTGTCAATCGCTCTGTGATTGTTTCGTGATTGCTTTATGATCACATTCACGATCTACATTTCTAATCTGCAATCGCGAGTCGGTAAGCAAATCTTTCACAACCTCGAAAAATAAAAATGTATCGCATCTTCTGACCAACGCCACAGTTAATTAGCAAGACGGTAATCAGAGCGAACCTCTGACGATCGACGGACGATTTAT